ACAACAACTGATTTTTTCCTGCTACACCCGGCTACGCTGCTTCGCTTCTTCTTCTTGTTTACTACTGGTGGTTGGCTTTGGTCGCAGTACCGCCACCTTCTGCTCTGGAGTGTAAACGCTTCGAAAAAGGAGCAGAGCATGAACTGAACGCAACACACGCGAACTGAACCGAGACAGTTGAACCGAACGGTTCGGACGGTTTTCATAAACTGTTCCATTCCTACTATTAATTATAATTAATGAACCAAGAGTCTGAAGCTGGAGAAAGTGCTACAGCAGTGGAATATGGCACACCGTAAACCGAGAGCTTTCTTTGGTCTTCACTCATTTTTATGCTGAGGGAGAAACAAATGCGGAGGAGTTGACCACCACCTGTCCCACTGGATAAAGTAGGACTACCTTACAGACCGCCTGCAGTATATGAGGACAGGCTGGTCTACAGAACAGGGCGCTGAACGCAACTATTTACCCTCTACGCTGTGGTAACTCCATTGACTCCTGGGTTTGTCATCTATATAGTACAGTTTCACCCTAATTAATGAAAATCTTGATTTAAAATCAGCAGTTTCTGTTCATTTTCTGTTGTCTTGGATGAAATTCAGTTTATTTGAGGTTCTGAAAAAACTGAAGTTTGACAAACATGAAATAAAAAGAGATTAGAAAAGATGGCAAATACGTTTTCACACCCCTGCACATTTGGGGTTCTTCTACGGTTTTCTACTCTTTACTTTTTGCCCCGCTTCAAGTTTTCTACCTTAGAAATCAGCATGTTTCTCTTTTCCTTTCATTTTGCTGCTTGTAAACCCAAATTTAACTTTCTTTTTGAAACATCAATATAAGGACAAGAAATAGTGGAAACAGATCCCCATGTTCTACTCTTATTCCAATATCCTTTTTCAAATGTAACAATCAGATTTTTATGTAGTTGTGTTTTCCCTGATTATTCTAAAAATAATTTCATTTCACATTTCATTTATACGTCATTGTATTTATAAATGATTTTATTTATAAACCTTTATGCTTATGCCTGTATGCTTTAATTTGCCTGTAATTTATTTATATAGCACCAATTCACAACACATATCCTCTCTGCACTTTACAGAGAAAATCCAATCAGACAGGTAAGGCGATTCTATCTCAGTAAAACCAGCTGGTTGCATTCAATCATTGACTCACAGAACATGTTCCTCCTGGATGAGCTCATGGTGAAAATCTTCACTTCCATTTTGTCGTTGACTCTAAAGCAATCCCTCACACCAAGAATGCATGCAGCAACAGTAGAGAGGAAAAACTCCCTGAACAAGGAGAAACCTGCAGAACCAGGTTCAGTGTGAGCGTCCATCTGCCGAGGCCAGTTGGGGTTCAAGGAGACAGAAGCACAGATACAAAAGGAATGTACAAGCAGTGATCCAGAAATACTCTCTTTGTCAGAAATGGCAATGGTATACTAGCTCTATAGGTGTCACGGTCTAGGAAAGGAACAGTGAAACAGATGAGCCATGAGCCGGTATTCATGCTGAAGGGGATGAAAGAGAGCACATACAATTAGTCACAGTGCTGTGTATAGTAATGTCGAGGAGAGAAACAGGATTAAACACAAAATATTGGCCCAACTCTATCATCTATAACCGAAGGTATTGATGTCAGCAGCCCAGCTGATATTTCTCTTCAAGATGATGTCACAGCCCAAACAGGAACAGACCAGAAGAAGCTACCAGGGCAAGAAAAAGGAGACGGAACTAAAAAATACTGCAGAATGTGAGAATGGAGACAGCTTGAAAGGAAACGATGAAAAGGGGTCCCCATGTCCTCCAGCAGCCTAAGCCTATAGCAGCAT